TGACCAAAGATGTAGAGCGAGAGGGCAAAGCAGAGGCTCTGGCTACCGACCCAGGCTGATGTCCAGTTTGGCATTTGGGTAGCAAATAATCCACTGGGTAAGCGAAGTGAAGTTAAATCCCGGCATCTGTTTCTCTCTTAATTTGAGGGCAGGTTCTGACCCCAATCGTGGGGCAAGAGGCTTGAGTCAAAAATGAGAGACTATTTTCTTTCCAGGCTTGGTAAGAGGGGAGGGGATGAGATGGGCAGTTAGCCAGACCGCCTGATTGGTCAGGGCAGAAAGGACCGAGTTCTAGGAACAGAGAGCAAGTTTCCAGGCAGGGAGAGGGCATTCAGTGGCACTTGGCTTTGGAGTATACCAAATAGCCCCCATTCCAAACATGCTGCTTAAAAAACAAACAAAACCAGCTACACACTTGGTTGAAGTGATAAATAAAAATGAATCACGTTGCTCGTCTGATCTCATTTGCGTTAGGGGAAAGATAGATTAGCAGATGTGGCTTCACCAGACCCGGTTTGACCCTTGCAAAGAAAATTAATACATTTCCTGTTATGTTCTTTATTAACACAGACAGCTTTTGTCACGTCTTTTGCTCTGCACATTACTGTGGCTCTGCTTAATGTTAAAAACTGCCACCACCGTGGAAATTTATTATGCCAGTTCCCCTGTGAGTGTATTTCTTACACTTTTGTTTTTCTTGCCTTTTTTTCTTCTTCTAGAAAGATGAGGTATATCTTAATTTGGTCCTGGACTATGTTCCTGAAACAGTATACAGAGTTGCCAGGCATTATAGTCGGGCCAAGCAGACACTCCCGATGATATTTGTGAAGGTAAGTGACGTCAATGAAGAAGCCTGATCATTTGTGTGATCTGGGGACTTCAGAGGTATAAGGCAGCCTGCATAATGGGCATGCCTCTGTAAACTGAGGATTTTATCATATATGATGGTATTGGTGGACTGGGGGAGGGGATTTTGCACAATCAGATCTGAAGGTGTTTGCAATTGGCCGCAGGCTTCCATGTGCACAACAGCTCTCCCCCCCCCCAAAAAAAAAGTCCAGAGTTTCTTTCTGTGTGCAGAATTTCCCTATTTCCTGTGGCCTCTGTGCTGGAGCTGAGCACTGCTTGCAGTCTTCTAGAGCTAAGCCCTCCGTTTTTAAAAAACACTGGCTCCACCTCCCCTGAGCCTAGAAGGGCAGGGACTGCACCCTCCCATTCAGTTCTTCCCATGCACTTAAACTCTGCTCAGAAGATTCTGAATGGTGCTCTGCACAGGTGTAGAGCCCCTGTAAATGAGCCCAAGACCCCTCAAAGCACACCAGTTAAAGGTGAGCAGCCTGTTGTTCCGGTAGTGCCCGAGGAATACTGATGGGGGAAACAAAGTAAAAGCTACAAGAATGTCCAGAGAAGAAGTGCTGTAGATATTGCAAAGGGAATACTCTTGTACAGCCTGCCCAAGTGAGGGGGTTTTGCTCAGAACATATGTCCAGACTTACATGGCTGTCGTTGTTACTCACCTTGAGTCCTGAGATGCTTGGGAGAAAGGTGGGTCCATAAACATTTTAAAGAAGTAAATGGCAAATTCCTCCCCCTCCGCACTAGTGTAGGTAAAATGGCAAATGTGGAGGAGCTGTGTGCTTAGGGGTAAAGAGCAGTTTCTCTTGGGTGTGCTCCTCAGTTAAAACCAGTGTTCCCTCTAAGCTGAGTTAGTGTGAGCTGGCTCACAGTTTTTTAGCCTTTGGCTCACACATTTTTGTTTTAGCTCAGGAAGGATGGCCGCAGAACAAACAAATTTATGCAGCAGCCAAATAGCTCGCTCATAACTTTAATGCCAGTAGCTCTCAAAGTAGAATTTTTACTCACAAGACTCCACAGTTTAGAGGGAGTATTGGTTAAAACGTGTGCCTGTGCGCAAGTTCCTTCCTTCCAGTTTGGCGTAGTGATTAGAAGCGTGGACTCTAACCTGGGAGAACCAGGTTTGATTCTCCGCTCCCCCACATGCAGCTGCTGGTGTGACCTTGGGTCAGTCACAAGTTCTCTCAGAGCTGTTCTGGAAAGAGCATTTCTTGAAAGACCTCTCTCAGCCCCACCTCCCTCACAGGGTATCTGTTGTGGGGAGGGGAGGGGAGGGGAGGGGAGGGGAAAGGAGAGTGTAAGCTGCTCTGGTATTGGAGGTAGTGAAGGGCAGGGTTTAAATCCAATCTCCCCTCCCTCCCTCCCAGTGGGGATGCAAAGCCGGTTATATCAAGTTCCTTTTGTGTGTGCCTCAGTGTGTCCCAGGGACTTATGAGCATATGCCTGGCTCTTTTCCTTGTTAGGTTCCATCTTGTGTAGGCACAGGGTACTGAGGAAGGTCATGACCTCTCAGGCAGTGTCTTGGAACAAAACCGTCCCTCCCAACCAATTGGCAAATAAGTGGCTAGTGTCCATCGTAGGAGACCAGCTTGCCTGTTAGCCATTGGTGGCACATCAGTGTGGCCTGAAGGAGAAAAGAATCGGCTCTCGTCTTTTTTTACATAAGCTCCCTTGCTTGGTCACCTGGGAATGGCTTTTACCTGCTGCAGGAAAGCAGGTGTTCCTACTTTTGGTCTCAGAGCTTGTGCTGCTGGAAGTCCGTCAGGGAAGCATTTGGGGATTCTTGCAGAGAGAAGTGCAGTCCGACAGAGCTTTTGCGCTATCAGAGAAGAAAAGGGCAAAAGAGAATTTAAAAAAGAAAAGAAAAGGGTGATGTTATTGTTTATTGCTTGCTTGTTAAAATATTTTGTCGTACTTTTAAATTTAAAAATTATCCATAGTGGATAACATCGTATTCTTAATCTGATGAAGGGAGCTTTGACTCTTGAATGCTTAAACACCCAAAATCTTGTTGGTCTCTAAGGTGCTTAGTGTAGTGTAGTGCCAGTTTGGTGTAGTGGTTAGGAGTGCGGACTCTTAATCTGGAAGAACCAAGTTTGATTCCCCACTACTTCACATGCAGCTGTTGGGTGACCTTGGGCAAGCCACAGTTCCCACAGAGCTGTTCTCTCAAGAGCAGTTCTCAGTCAGAGCTCTCTCAGCCACACCTACCTCACAGGGTGTCTGTTGTAGGGAGAGGAAGGGAAGGAGATTGTAGGCCACTCTGAGACTCCAAGTGAAGGGTGGGGGGTATAAATCCAACAACTACTACTACTACTTCTCCTCCTCAAACCTAGTACATTCCAAAGCAGTGGAGCAAAACTCTGAACCAGTAATCTCAGCAAGTAAAAGCTTAGCCGCTAAAACTTCATTACATCTGCAATGAATTTAACATTGAAAGAATGGAGAGAGGTGGGCAGAGACTAGAGATGAAAAATTTCTGGAAATTTTGAAGCAATAGGAAATTCCTCAGTGTACTTTTCAGCTTGGGAGAAAAATTGAAATATGTGTAAGATGTAATTTTTTATGCTGTATACTTTGAGAGAAGAAAACACTGTCTTAAGAAGCATTTCATTCATTCCAAAAGAGAAAACAGTACATAGGAGTCTCCCCCTCCCCCCAATGCTTTCCCAAAGTGCCTTATTTGACTGTTGGGAAAATCAAAAACACTTCTCGGAGGGAGGGGCTTCCTGCCATCAAATGTTTTTTTCCATGGGCCATCATCCCATCTCTAGCAGTGTAGCAGAGGTGCAGTCAGCCCATCTCAAAAATGGCTCAAAGGACTTTCTCAGCAGTCAGGACCTTACTGCTGCCAAAATGTGACTAGTGCAGAGGAAGAACTCCTTGTGGAGGGTGCTCCACATATGTGGTGCAATTACTCATGTCCGTGTGACACCAGGAGTGTTTGCTAAGTACACGGTGGTGGCAGCCAGTGCTTAAAGAAGGAAAACTGCAGGGCTCTCCCTAGAGAAGTGGTTATTTAGCTGCCAACACGCCCAATCTCCTCTGACCATTTGTGCCCTCATATGGTCCATGTTCATATCCAAAGCAGAAGTGTCCTTCTGGGCCAGGACTTGGTCAAGACCATCAAACTACAACATCATCTGAAAGAGTGCATTAAACATCAAATTGGTGTATTTATTTATTTATTGTATTTGTACCCTGCCCTCCCAGCCTAGGCCGGCTCAGGGCGGCTTACACACATCAAAACATAGTTACAGTAAAACATAGTATATAAATTAGATTAAAACAGTTGTGAAATCCTTTAAAACACAATAAGCGCTAGTGGCCTTAATTTCACGATGGCTGCTGTTATTCAGGTTCTCTCATCTTGCAGTCGGTTTTTCGATCTTTTTTCGTTCATCTTCTAGCGGTTGGCTCAGGGTGTTGTTGGAATTCCACAAGGAAAAGGCTCTCTAGTCTCAGCTGTCAATTCTTAACGGTAGTGGCGGCTCCAAAAGCCTGGTGGAAGAGCTCCGTTTTACAGGCCCTACGGAACTGGGAGCTCATTCCACCAGAGAGGAGTCACCACCAAGAAAGCCCGTGCCCTTGTTACTACCAGCCTGGCCTCCTTTGGACCCGGGAGGGTCAGTCGATTCTGGGCCCCTGATCGCAGTGCTCTCTGGGGTATATGTGGGGAAAAGGCGGTCCCCTCAGGTATGTAGGACCCTGGCCATATAGGACTTTAAAGGTCAAAACCAGCACCTTGAAGCGAATCCGGTATGCTATTGTATAGTAGAAGTCTGGACAGATTGTGGGTGTGGCCAAAATAAATTGATTTTTAAAAAATTGCCTAAAGCCTACATTTAAACACTGTATCTCTACATTTTAGCGAGTAAAGCATCAAATTCTAACTATTCCCAGAAAAAAAAGAAGTCAGGGAGTATGTGTGTGTGTATGGGTGTCCCAAACCTCCATAAACTTATCTGGGTAGGTAGTTCTATAATTCCATATTTAATTGTCACATAATCGACAGAAACCGCTTTATGGTTAGAGTAGTATTTTACGGAACAAATTGGAACTGACGGCGGTGAAAGAAAGTGCCATAAAGTCACAGCTGACTTACGGAGACCCCGAAGCGTTTTCAAGGCAAGAGATGTTCAGAGGTGGTTCACCATTGCCTGCCTCCGCGTTGCAACCCTGGACTTCCTTGGTGGTCTCCCATCCAAGTACTAACCAGGGCCTGCTTAGCTTCCAAAATCTGACAGATCAGGGTAGCCCGGACCATGCAGGTCAGGGCAAATTTGAACTACTGAACCATATAACTGCTTAAAAATGAACAGCAGTGTATTTCATATACTGTTAGAGTTTCATATAGAGTTAGAGTAGTGCTTTTTGGAAATCCACATGACTTAAAAGTACCTACACGTTTGGATCATTCCTGTGTTATTTTTAGAAAAATATTGTGATGTATTTAATTGACGTTCAATTATTTATTAACAACAAAATTCCTAAAATCGTGCTTGAAAGTTCAGTACTCCCTAACGACTGTTAGTATCATCAGTACTATACTGGTTGTGTTGTTTCCATTGGTATTACATATTATTTGTATGTGAACAATTAGTTTTTTGACATTTCCCACAAGCAAAGGTATAGTAAAGCTCTGATTTCCCCCATTTCACACGCTCGTTTGCAATTGCTCTGAATCACTTTGAGATGATTCTTTGGTGCTGTCTGCAAGAATGTCAGATCATAGGTATTCCCTTTAAAGGTCTTTTGCCTGTTCATCTGATGACACTGTCAGATTCATTATTTACAAAGGCATTCTCAGACTATCATACTGAAGAAGAGCTGATGACGGAATCCTTTCTAACTGCCTAGATGACATTGCAGAGTTGCTAGCCTCAGTCTCAGTGAAACAGTGTTTGCATTTTTGTAGAATTGTAAATGCAGAGTGTATCCAGCTGTCCAACATTCCCTGATCCTTCTTTTGCTG